ATGAAGTGTCACTTAGCAGAAATAAAAATAAGCAGAATGTAAATTAAGGTTTTTTCACAGATACGAGGAGAATGCTAGAGTATGGTGTATAATATGTCCTGTAAAAATCTTGAATCCTGATCTCTTCAACGAGTTCATATCCTTCAATTACCAGCCCTTTAGATTATCTTCCCCTGAGTCCTTAGTGGGAAAACCTTTAACCATTCATCCTAAATCCTAAGTCCTTAGAGATATCTGATGGAGTCAAGTCTTTATTTATTAAGGGTTAAATCCGGTAACTATAGGTTATCCCTAGTCCTAGGTGATATCTACTATAACTTAATTATATAAAAACCTTAACAACCATGGTCCAGCTGAATGTTAACCGTAAATCAATCCTAATTTGTCCGATCAGAAAGGCATAAAAACATTGTACAATTAAATCAAATAGAGAATACTTTTATATAAAAGAAATTTATTAGTCAAAATTGTTTACAGAGTCAAATCAGTGACACCCCCTAACATTGAGGGGTTTATCTACTCATACTGTTCAAAATAATCACAAGATAAAGATTAGACATTACAAGTAATTGGATATCTTTGATCTTCAATTCCTTCCGCTCATGAGAATCTTCCGTTATCCAAGAACCTTGATCTCCTCAATCTTCAGTCGTGCAAATTATTCTTCGCTGCCAAAAAATCCCCTTATTCCTTGTGAAAACTCATTTAAATAGTCACCATTCATTCAGGTCGATTGGAAGTACCCAAAACGCCCTCACGGCTTAACATATGGAAAAGATATGAAAAGAAATCAAGAAATCAGCGTCATAGGCTGACACGGGCCGTGTCACCTGACACGGGCACCCATGTCATTCTTTGTCCATCATACCAACAAATCTCTCGCCCATACCTTCTGACACAGGCCATGTCAGCTGATACAGGCACCCGTGTCAGCCTCTGTCTCTTCTCCCAAACCTGCCTGCTTAGCCTCCTCTCCTGACACGGCCCGTGTCAGGCGACACGGGTGGTCGTGTTAGGTACCCTGTAGCTTGGTTTTTAAGACTTTCTCCGAAACTCAGAATTATGCACTTTTTGCACTGATTTTCTTGGTTTTATTCCTCTGAGCCTGAAAACAACAAAATACACAAATAACACATAAAACATAGAAGAATAAACTAAAACACTTGACAAAATAAAGAAACTATAACTAAAATCAATTGTAAATAAAGGTGGAAAAACCACTGATCACAGATCTTATAACTTATGCCTTAATCTCTTTAAGTGAGGTTCTAGATGAAGAACCTAGAGACTATAAGGAATTTATGAGGAGTCGAAATAAGAATGAGTGGCTGAAGGCCATGGATGACGAGATGAAATCTCTTCATGATAACCACACTTGGGAACTGATCAAGAAACCTGCTGAAGCCAGGATAGTCATATGTAAGTGGATTTTCAAAGTTAAGGTAGCAATAGAAGGAGTTACGTTGAAGAGATACAAGGCAATATTTGTTGCAAGGTATTTCACTCAGGAAAAAGGTGTCGAATTCAATGATGTGTTCTCTTATGTTGTGAAGTATAAATACATTCAAATGTTGCTTGCCATGGTGGCACAATTCAACCTTAAACTGGAACAAGTGGATGTGAAGACTGTATTCTTGTATGGTAATCTAGATGAAACAATCTTGATGAGGCAACCTGAAGGGTATGTCGAAAAGGGGAAGGAAGATTATGTGTGCAAGCTGAAGCGATCTTTATATGGACTGAAACAATCTCCTCGATAGTGGAATAAGAGATTCGACAGGTTCATGGCACATATAAGTTTCACTAGAAGTCAGTTCGACCACTGTGTTAACTTCATATTTCGACCTGGTAATTCATCTATTATTTTGTTGCTTTATGTGGATGATATTCTCATAGCAAGCAACAATTTCGAGGATGTAATAAAGGTGAAGGATAAACTCAATACAGAGTTCGACATGAAGGATTTGGGAGAAGCATCCAAGATTCTTGGGATTGATATTCGAAGAGATAGAAAGCAGTCGAAATTATGCTTATCTTAAGAGGCATATCTATAGAAGATTCTCGACAAGTTTGGTATCAAATTCAAAGCCCGTTGTGACTCCGACAAATCCTTAATTCAAGCCAAGTATCGATCAGTGTCCCAATACTGATGTCGAAAGAGCTTATATGAATAACATCCCATATGCTAGTATAGTAAGTTCTTTGATGTGTTTTATGGCTTGTACTAGACCTGACATAACATATGCAATAAGTCTTGTAAGCAGGTACATGGCGAATCCTGGAAAGGCTCACTGACAAGCATTGAAGTGGATTTTAAGGTACATAAATGGGCCTCTAAACAGAGTCGTAATTTATGGTGGAGCTTTGGGTGAAGATAGTAAAGCAGTAATCGAAGGATATGTCGACTCTGATTATGCAGGTTGTATGGATTCCAAAAAATCTATTTTTGAATATGTTTTCACTATGTCTGGCACAACAATTAGTTGAAAAGCGTCACTTCAGAAGGTTGTAGCCTTATCAACCATTGAAGCAGAATATATCTCCCTCACTGAAGTTGTGAAAAAGTATTGTGGCTTGAAGGTTTTGCTAAGGAGCTAAAACTTCAAGGTCGAGTTATCACTGTTAAATATAATAGTCAAAGTGTAATACATTTGTCGAAGAATTCAGCCTATCATGAGCGATCCAAACACATCGATGTGAGGCTTCATTTCTTCAGATGGGTAATCGAGCATGGATAATTCCAAGTGCTGAAGGTTTTGGCATATCACAATGCTGCTGATATGATCACCAAGACATTGTCAAATTGCAAGTTTTCTCACTGTATCCAGTTGATAAATCTGCATGAAGAAAGCTAGTTTATTCTTTGATATTAGAGTTTGTTTCAAGGTGGAGATTTGTGAGATATTGGATTGAACTCTATTGGATCAAAGGGTAGCTTCGTGGTTCAACAAGTTCGACAGAGGTTTGCATGCAGTCGAAGGTCGCTGACATGCTCGTGTCGATGTAGTGTATGTTGTAGTTGAAGTATGGTCATACATGCAATTGTTGAAAATGCTAGAGTTGTTAGCATGCTGAGTTGGGTCTGATTTTATGTCCAATTGTTTAAGTTAGCTTGTATTCTAAGTTAGCTTGTAACATGTATTTGTGAAAATTCCTATTAATTTAGTATGTTAGGTTTATTATAAATAGCATACTAGTATCTCGTCATTGTATATTACAAATCCTAATTTAGGGTGAGAGAGATTATTTGTTATTCTTGTAACACTTGTAATCTTATTTAAAGAGAAAGTAAAGAATATTAGTTATAATCAATCCTTGTTGTTCTTCGTGTTCCTCATTCTTTTCTACCCTTGTGTGTTTCTTGATCATAAAGAAATAATTTATACTTTGTTTCCAAGGCATCATTTTCACAACATTGACATTATTGGTTGGAGAATAAAAAAAGCCAAAAACACGACATATGAATAATAACATGATGAATCAAAGTATGATACACAAACTTAACATTACAGAAGTAATACACATAAGTATGCAATAAATGGTTAAAAAACAAACCTTTAGCACAAGTAGAAAAGATAAATAGTTTGTAGATGAATGATATACAAAAACAAATGCAATTTAAAAAAACACATACCAGGCAGATAAACAGAAAAACTACACCTTTGCACAATTAGGAAAATATAAAATAAAGTAGGTAACTGGTAAAGACAAAAAAAATGAAATAAAAGCTAAAAAAACACAACTTTTGTAGAAATTTATAAAAAATCAAAAATTTCCACAAGCCGTAGACATAAATATTTCATAGGTGACTGCTATACAAAACAAAACAACGGGAAAAAACACATCATTTTCAGACATTAACACTGAATCTATCATTATCAAAGAAAAACGTAAACTTTGAGCAAGCTATGCAACCTGTTCCGTCTATAATGCTTACAGAAGCGGAGAAAAGGGAAAATTTTGGACAAGTTAACACAAATGTTTGGTTTTTAAAGAATGGGCAACGATCTTTAACATGACAATGGTTACAATACACAAGTTTTGGACAAGCAAATCAAAATAAAATGAGAAACAATAGCGCAAACAACCAACAAAAATGAAGGAACATGATAAACATAAAGAAGAGGATGAAACAAGAATATCCATTGTTACCTAAGTGGAAACAGGTTGAAACGGGGAGATGATGAAAAACTCGGAGGAGTGAGGTCTGGTTTGAACCTTTGAAGAGAGAATGAAGATGAAAGTTATGATAAATGAGAGAGAAAAAAGTGAATAATGTAGCGAATGATTTGAACTGGTAGAGGAAAATACCTACCGGTAAAGCATGTAATCAACCAATATCCAAAAGGGTTAGTGAGATAGTAGAGGAAAATACCTACCGGTGAAAATGTATGTCACTTGTATGATTGGCATTAGCTGATTGGCTATATTTGTTTGAATTAGCAAATTACAGTTAAGGGTTTTTTGTAGTGCCGGATTAATCTTAAAGGAAGCATAGATTAGGAAGTTATTAGACATGCCTCAATTTTAGTTAGGTAGTTGATTATACATGTCTCAATTTTTTTTATTATTTAACCAACTAATTCTAATCTACATAATGAATTAACTAATCTGATTCTGTGATTAAGAAAAACGATTCACTAATTAAATATTATTTCTACTAAGAACCAAACTCAAATAATATCAAAGGGTTCGTCTTTAATGAAAATTCATTTCCATTATAATCCAGATTCTTAATTCAATGTCTCAATGTTAGTTAGTGAGATAGTTGACCATGTCACTTTAAATTTGACAAGTGAGGAAAGAAGTTTTCGCTCGCCTCCTAATCGTATCCAAAAGAAACAAGCAAACAAAAGCATATCGATAATCTCAACGGTGTACTATTTATAATAATATTAATCTAACACTAATCTTCTCAGTATATATACTAATTCATCACCATCTTCCCCTCACATCACACAATCCCTGAACTCTAACCCTCATCTCAAATCCCAAACGCCATGGATCCCAATCCAGGTACCTTCCCGATTCTCTCTTACGTCATGTCCCGTTTCCCTTCCTTAGCATCCCTAACCACCGCCACCGCCACATCCTCCGACACCGAATTATACGACATCGACATCGAACAGCCACGCTCCGAAATCGTCGGCAAAATGCCAAACCTAGCCGACCCGGAACTAATCGCATCCATGGGCCGGGCCATCGCCAACGTTCAGCAGGCCCGGTCCGTCCTTAACCTAATCGGCGAACGTCCGACTCACGAGGACATCGACCTCGCGAAGGCGAAGCTCGCGGAGACTGAAGCCCAGCTATCCCGCCAGCTGGAAGAAATCGTGCATCATCCGCGGCCTCCGGAGATCAAGATCCAAGGATGGCGGGCTCAACAAGCCGAAAAGGAGAAGGAGTGTAGGGAAGAGGCGGAGAAGGAGAAGCGGATATGGAAATCGCTTATTCAGCTTGATGAGATGCATGAGGCTTATGAGAAGCTGCTTAAGGATTCGGAGAAGCGGTTGGTTAGAATGTACGATTCTGCTGGAGATGGCGATGTTGGAGGAGATGGTGATGAGGTGAATGAAGAGGTGGTAGGGATTCTGCAGGAAGCGGATGGGAAAGGGATGGAGAGAATTGACCTTTCTGGCCGGACATTGAAGATTTTGCCGGAAGCTTTTGGTCGGATTTCGGGTTTGCTTGTGCTTGACGTTTCAGCTAATCAGCTTTCGGTAAAGTACTTTTCACTTTCTGCTTTTTTTTTTTTTTCCTTTTGTTTAGAATGCTGTTAGAAGAAACTGATTCCAAGGTTATTAGACAAAGTTTGGATACATATAACTATACACTTGTATAGTACAAGTATTTATAAGTTGCTTTATTTGGCTATCTTGGATGGAAATAAGCTGTAGGTGAAAATAGCTTAAGAAATAAGTTGTTCTTTAGTCTCACGATTGCTTATGATAGTAGATAAACTTCTATAAGTCAATGCAAATTGCAAACAGATCCTAAATAGTAATTCTAACTAAATACACACAAATTTCCTTGAGTTTTTGCTTCTTTAACCTCGTAGGTTTTGTTGAGATTAGACTAATTGCACCATCAGTTTTGCCTATGCCATGAATTGAGCTTGATTTGGAATTTGAATGTGCTTGTTTGGCTCTGTTTGGGTCTTCAAAGTTCTAGAAAACTTGTTAATATGTTGGCTGAATGAACTTGGTGTTTGTACTTTCAGCAGCAGAGAGGATGGTGTTTTGTGTTCCTTGTTATTGTGTAGTTTATGAAATGTTTGCTGAAGAATCATGATTGCTCCATTGATAAATAATAACCACTTTAAGTTTGTATACAATATTTTTTATTTGTTTCATTTTGAATAGTTATACTCCTTGTGCTCCATTGATATTTTTTTTAAAATCATATGAGATGTAGATCTGAATTACTTAGTTGGTATGGCCTCTCATGCATTTCCACATATGTACTAATATTTATCTGTGACACAATAGGCAATTCCTGACTCAATAGCTGGCTTGCAAAATCTGGAGGAGCTTAATCTCTCTGCAAATCTTTTGGAATCACTGCCTGATTCAATTGGGTTGCTACAAAAATTGAAATTGCTCAATGTTTCTGGAAACAAGCTTACTGCCCTTCCTGATTCCATTTGTCAGTGCAGGTACGAAAATATTTTGGTCACTGACGTCCACTTGTTTTAAGAATCACCTCATATGAGAAGTATTTTGAAAGCCGTCCTTGTGAACAGCTAAACTAGTGAAAATTGGATCCATTATTCAGCAAGCATGAACAAGAACTGTTATTTATTTAAATTCTATGAACTATAAATGACAACACAATTTCTTATTTTATCATTTCATTTGTGTTCTTATGCCTTTTAAGATTAATTTTAGTGTACAAACACTGTAAAATATCTCACTACCAATTCGACGTTCTGCTTCTGCACATGTCAACTCATTTCTTAAGCCAAACAGTATACATGCTCAAGTCATTTAGGAACTTGTTCAAATTATTAATGTTTTTATCACTTGATCTAAACTATTTTATATCGAGTGATCAGGTCATTGGTGGAGCTGGATGCAAGCTTTAACAATCTGTCTTACTTGCCAACAAACATTGGGTATGAATTAACGAACTTGAAGAAACTCATAATTCATTTGAACAAAATCCGATCTCTTCCCTCGTCCATTTGTGAGTTGAAGTCGTTATGCTATTTGGATGCTCACTTCAATGAGCTACATGGGCTTCCAATAGCAATTGGGAGACTGACTAATCTGGAAGTTCTCAACTTGAGCAGTAACTTCACTGATCTTAAAGAACTTCCTGAGACATTTGGTGAATTGACTAATCTCAGGGAATTGGATCTCAGCAATAATCAGATTCGTGCACTTCCCGATACATTCGGCTACCTTGATAACTTGACCAAGCTCAACTTGGAACAGAATCCTCTTGAAGTGCCACCAGTGGAGATTGTGAATCAAGGGGTCGAAGCCATATTGACTTTTATGACCAAGAGGTGGATTGATATCTTGCAAGAGGAAGAAAGAAAGAGCAATCAAGAAATGCAAGAACAAGTAGAGGGTGGCTGGTTAACACGAAGCACTTCGTGGTTGAAGAATGTTTCCGGAAATGTAGCTGGGTATATCGGAACTGCTGTTGGATCTCCTATGTCACCCAAATCTCCTAAGGAAGATTATCTTAATCAACAGCTATAAGGTGAGATTTGTCCAACTCTTTATCAGGAACTGTCAAGCATGCATTTCTGATTAAGATAGCAGGTTACAGATACTATGTTAGTTGCCAAGCAGTAGTTACTGCTGTTACTTCCTCTTTTGTTCTCAACCCAATATCCAACATAAGGGCAGGGTGTTTTGGTAATTAACGTGTATAATTGAGGGGCATGCATGCCACTCACAATAACTGCCTAAATCTTGAATTTGTTTATTTTAAACATTAACAACAAAATAATTTTCTCACTTCACGTGTTGTGATTCGAATGTAACGTGATTTGAGTGGAAGTAGTATATATTCTTGTTTGTTGTACTAAAGCTTTTTTTTTTTGTGTGTGGTGGGATACATTTGTAATATGCAATCAAAGTAAACAAAGGGAATGGATAAAGGGAGTCACGATTCTCCATCTCCATTTCCTAAAAAATGGAGAGCATCATTCTTATAGTTCACTATTATAGTTTTATGTGCATAAATTCAAATAAAAATTAAATATATGTGACATGTCTTTGTAATTAAGAAACAGTAATTAGGTCGTTAAAATGTGTATACTAATTTTTACTTTTGATGTTGGTTTTGTGTAGGGGGTGACAAACGGGTAATGTCTGTCTCGAAAAATTGGACATAGTTGAGGATACAATTTTAAAATTTTAGTCTGCTGCGCCAGAAAAAGATGAGGTGGGCCGGCGGGACTGCACATCTAAAATCTAAAATTACAAGAAAATTATGTTAATGAATGCACCTGTAAAATAAAATAATTGGGCAGGAAACAGATCGACAAAACGGACATATGTCCACTGGTCTGTTTTGTCATGGGTGTTTTAGATTTAAAAGAAATCAAAACCTTTGAAACATATAATCAAGAGTACCATGAATCTCATTATTTACATATAATGAAGATTATCATGAATCTCATTGTTTATCGAGACGTTTCTATCATGAATTATTGAGAAAAAAATCTAGATAATGAAAGACTTAATATCTATTTTGGTCTTGTATGTTAATTTTATAGTTTATTTTGACTTCTTAATTTAAAAAAGTTTTATATTGACCCCTTAATTTTTTAGAATATATTATATTAATTATTTTCGTTTAATTAGCGATAGAAAAATTCATAAAGTGGTTGCTAATTTTGTCATTAATTAGACGAAAATGATTAACATTGTACGTTTTGAAGAGATAAGAGATTAATACGAACTTTTTTAATGTTAAGGGATTAAAATGAACTATGAGATTAACATACACGACCAAAAAGAATATTAAATCGTGATTAAACACAAAGTGCAATCAATAGTTTCTAGAGTCTTATAGTCACCAAATGAAGGAATGTCTCTATTTTGAGGTCCATCTGAAGCGCATAGCATACACGAGGGGACCATGTTGGGGTGGTGAAGTATAGATAGTAGGAATAAAGTTGTGATAAGCACACATTAGTGAAGTATATATAGTGGGAATAAAGTTGTGATAAACAGACCTAAAAAGAAATTTGATCTTTTTTAATAAACTTAATTTCCAGATTCAACTTTAGAATTGAGTCTCGCAGTAAACCTTATTTGTTGCAAAGGATCTAACAGTAGTCACTCTTAGTGTAAGTACCACTTATGTGATCAGATCAAATGAAGATATCTTCTATATTTGAGTTGAACCTGAGATTTTTACCGGCAAATTTAGTCGTGATATTACAAAGAGGTGAGTATACACGTAGTTGAAGTGTGGCAGTGTTGTTGAGTAAAAACATGTAAATTAAAGTTAAGTTTGTGAATGTGTACATAGTCAATAAGAGCATCCATGGAATAAAAAAGTCTAGCAGTTGTACCAGAAAGAAGAGAAGCCTGACTCAGACCTCCGGTCAAACCTATCTTTAAGTACATTTTAGATTTAGACAATAGAATTCTAGGTGGAGGAACTTGTAGTGGTAGAAAGGGACATGAAACAGACATCAAACAAATACTTACGAGAGAAGAGGCATACCCCAAATATCTATATTTTAAAGTAAATCAAACTACCTTGGTGAGAAGGGATGTGTTGGCATCTCTAGTTGATCGAACTCTCAAGCCACCTAACTTTCTTAACAACCAAATACGTGTGAGGGGGCATGAAATGCAGTTAGCCGTCAGATCGATCTAGAGGGTTAGGATATATTTTGTTGGAGGGTTTAACTGCTTGATAGAAAAAGGGAGACCACATGTTATATGCTTACAGTTTGCCTTTCACCACCATTCTTCCACGTTTTTGGGCCTTGTGGACGGTTCAAAACAACTTCCACTTTTTAATAAATAGTGTCATACTTCAATTTTCTCCCTCACTTTTTCATGTCATTTGGCTATAAGAATTTGAGTTCCACCTGAGGTTATGATGAGGAATCCTCAGGCCATAGTTTCATTTTATTAGTTATTTTTGACTTAACCATAAGTATGCATCATCTCATTGCATACAATAAAGTCAAAGTCCAATAAAATCAACAAATATTGACTTGAGTTAAAAGAGGAAGACTTAATCATTTGTATACATTTCTTTCATCATCACTAATCATTCATCATTTATAAAGAAGGTTGGTTAAACTCAATAGGGTCAAATGGAAAGTCAACCAAATCAAAATTGCAAATTTTAGAAAGGATCAACTGAGATTTGAATATGATACAAAACTTTTATTCAAGTTTGAAGTGAATTACATGGTATCATTCATAAACTTTATTACTATGCATTATTAATAAAAACCAAAAACAAACTTGTACATGTTAAAAATATTTAGGCCGACTTATAAATCAGATGAGGCATGCATATTGGTAAAAGTATCAGATGTGTACTGGCGGACGAGGATATAATATCAGACCATATTAGAAAGGTTCCTGCCCAGAAGACAATATGACTAAGTCAGAGAGGTCAATGATATGTCAGGTTGGATGGTCGAGATATCACGTCGATACGACAATTACAAGTAGTCTGAAAGGGCTCAGATACGTTACTTGAGGTGTTATGTTTTATGATGACGACGAAACTTAAGATTCCCTCACTTACGAAAAATGTTACAAAGGATTAAATAGTTTGTTACATTCTTATGTCCATAAAGCCTATTAATCCATGACTATTCATGGGGGAGGAGGGTTGTCTTTATAAATAGAGGTCTCTAGCAACGTGAAAAAGGGACATGGACCAACAGAGGACGAATGGGTGAATGCAATATACAGTAAGCCCTAGGGATTCCCAAAAGAGCTTAATCCTTCATCCTTCTCCTAACCCCCCCGTAAAACATAATACAGTTGCAGCCTCGTCGGATTAGCTTCTGGAAAATTATCCAAATATGTTCTTCCAGAGTATTTGGCGCCCACGGTGGAGCCTCGGTAAAATTGACCTGGGCCTCAAGTTCACCCTTCAGCCTTCCAATGGAGAAAACAATGTCCTTTTGATGTTTCATTTCATATACGTACTTTCATTATGGGGATCAGATTTATTTTCATCTTCATATTGAGTGGTACTGTTTGTGCCTGTTTCCTTTTCTCGACTGCCGACAACTATAATAGGGGCGACTAGAAAGTGTCAAGGTCACCACTTTCAAAGAATCCTCTTTGCAGAAACATGATAAACATAGTTGTTGTTGATTGGTATTTATGTTGTAGATGATTTCGAATGAGATAACTTGGCCGGTACGATAAGAGAAATTTGGAAGGAAACTTTCATATGCTTGTCAATATAAATAGCCAATCCATAGGATTTCAAGTTCAGCGAAGATAGCGGAAAAATATTCAGCCACAACATAATATCATGGTGGTGAAGAAAAGGAGAAAGTTGAGTTAGGTAGCATCGCGAGTGTTAAGATCAGGGAGCTCATGGAAAAATTAGAGGCCACCGCTGCAAATCCATTAAACCTAGATGAGAAGATCCGACTCGACCTTGTCCAACTCAAAATAGAGAAATTCTAGAAGATCCTTAGTTTGTATAATGAACTTGCCAAAATCTAGAGCCCAAGGTTTATGGTGTTTGCTTGCTCAGATTCAAGAGTTTCCCGTTCCCACATTTTGGATCTCCATCCAAACCAAGTATTTTGGATCAGGAACTACCATTGAACATGTTGTACTACATTTAAATTCCGATCTTATAATCGCTCATAAAGAAGCGAAATGTGTCAAACTGCAATATAAGTGTCAAAATATGAGACAAATAAAATATTTCGAAAGTATGAACTTATCAAGCAGGGTCATTGGCAAGACCAAGATGCCGAATATCAACCAAATTACGTTTTAAGTAGGCGTGGCAAAATGGGTAGTGGCCCGCCAGGCCAGCCCGCTCACCCTTCAAAAAATGGCGGGTTTTGTTAGAATTTGGGCCCGCCAGCCACCAAAACCCACCCCGCCAAAACCCGTCGTTTGTCAAAGTCTGCTCCGCCTATTCGTTCAGTCTATCCTGCCTTAAGTCCATCCTTTTTTAGTTAATTATATTAATTCTAATACTTGATGATTTTATTTTATATATTTGTTTGTGAATATATGCAATATTTTTTAAGTAATATTCATTAAAAAGATGCTTTATAAAAAATTGTTCTAAATAATAAGTGAAAATCTAATTAAAATTGTAAAAAAAACTTATTAATCTATTAAAAAATGAAAAAAAAAAAAAAATATACAAGCAAGTTTGCCGCCTGCCAACCCGCCATCTTGGCGGGGCGGACTAGATTTTTATGTCTATTTTCACTTAGCGGGCTTGCCCGCCTTGCTCTTTTTTTGGTGGTCTTAAGGTGGTATGAAGCGGGCAGCCTGTTTTGCCACCCCTAATTTTAAGTAATTATTTTATTGTTGGATAAGGCGAGCTAATGTCTCTGCCATTTGTAATTATTTTAAAAGAAATATTTAGAACATACCTAAGCTATAAGTGTCGCTCATTTCCCTTACGCGGGCGGGAGACACCTCCTCTTTTATTAAAACTTGTAGAAATTATGTAGGACAATTATTAGAAAAACCCATGTCTTATAAAAACAAAGCGCATTATGGTC